ACAAAAGATCAAACAGTTCACAGGTTAAATGTGATTTTTGTCCCAACAATGTCTGCACAGTAAATTCAGGCAATAGTTTCTCGAGATGCAACTGTTCATGGCACAGGGAAAACCACACACAGAGAGACACTCCACCAGCTCCAGCATACCAAATAACTGTAACCACAAACCAGCATGTGGATGTGACTGAGTGGCTCTTGCCTCCAAATATTTGCCAATCAACCATAGCAGGGAGTCTGATTGGAAGTAATGCCTGTACAGTTATTGCTATGCTAACTGGATGCCATTTTCTTGAAGGTAAAATTTTCATTCCTCAACAACTTCAAGATCTATCACAGGTAATTCCTCTCTACAGCCAGCTAATTCTCAAGGGGAACCATATTTACAGCTTGTTTCATGTGCCTGTGCAACAACCAAACCTGGAAGTCAAAGAGGTCCTTCAGTACAACAATGAAGAATTTCAGAAAATTGAACTAATTGCAGACTTGGGTTTTTTCACTGTTGAAGACCTTGAATCTTATCTTACAAGCTACCATTGCCAGCATCCAACATTTGCTGCAGTCCTGATTGTGCCCCCAGACAAGACAATGGTGTTATGCTTCAGGAATGCAAGTATTTGCCTCTTTGAAAGTCACAGACATGGCCACCAAGGAGGCATTATAGCCTCGAGCTCTTCTGGAAAYGCCCGCAATTTTGTGCGATACGTTGAAAGGATGGTAGTGAGAGACTGGGAAACGCAGTTGCAGGGATCAAACATAGCTGTACTAGGTCTAAAGTAAACTCTGAAAACTTAACTTTAGACCTGATACAGCTACTGTATGTATCGAACATTATAATTGTTCTACATTTTCCAAGTAAGTTGCTCAGCAGGTGTTTCATTCATTTGGTGAAATAAGTAGCAAAATACATGGTCTCAGGCATACTCATTATGAGTGAAATGCAAGGTTTACAACACATTCCAAGAACATGTATGCTGGTTAAATTGTTTCAAATCCCATATTCAGCTTCAGTTATATATTAAATAAATATTCACTTTCCTTTGCAAGTAAGTGAAGTTCCAAACTATATAGAGATTTTAGTCAAAATAAAGCAGTCGTACAGCTGTTGTGATTTGACGCTAACTTATAAGCTTAGGATTTTCAATAAAAACAACTATCATTTCGCGCGATAGACCTAAAGTACTACAAGTGTACTAAACAGTACTTTGGGGTCGTTCGAACACTCCACTGAAGAACTGAAACGTACACGTCATTTTCGACCGCAATTACGTTTAAAAGAAATATTTGCGGTGAAAAGCCCGCATTTTTTCTGGTTAAGGAACTTGCATAGCTCGGAAAAGGGATAAATAAAGTATTCGCTTAACACATTTTTGAGTTGGGGCAAAATACCAAAACAAAGTTTTCGTAAATTTTCTGCCGGGACACTCACTCGAAGGGCAAAACATCATCTACGCCGTACGTAATAAAAATGATAAAATACAACACAATAAAAGAAGATCTACTAGGTAAGACTATTATAACAAATGAAATGGACTCCAGGAGTACCTCTAAAGCAGACTCAAACGACATATCCCATAGACGTTCACTACGATCTATGACTTGGAAAAACTACCATAATTTGCTCCGTTGAAATGTACCAAAAGTGCTCGCAATAAAGTTTTAATCCTCGTTGCTGTACATTTTTTAAAGACTGCAATCCCCAGCGGCTGTAAAGAAAAGGTAAAGACACTATTGTTAGGTTCCAAGAGTTCGATGTCGCCATAGTAGTTACACAAAATGGCACATCAACCAATGCTAGGAGTAATAACTGATTTATTTCTCATAGTGAATCATATTATATACAGGTTTTTAGATAGGCGTAATTAGAACGAAACGATAATCATTTTAGGCATTTACCACAAAGGAAATTTGCAGGTGAGCAGTAGTACGTTGTGGTGTATTCTAATCTGGGGCAACTGTTAAGTAACTTAAGTGTGGGTGCTCGGAATATCCGGGCATGTATTCTAACACCCCATATTATTGTTATTGTTGTTGCGTTGTACCAACGTGCGGAAACACTCGATAATTCGGGCCGATTTCCTGTACCGGTGATAAGAAGCCACGAACATAACTAATCGGGTTCGCTCCAGCTAGCAGCGGACTGGCAAATGAAGAAGTACAAGTAGTGTAGGAGACGTTGGCCGACCTAAATTGCAGTGTTCTCGAAGCTTCGCCCGGTTTGTTGACGGCAAGCACGCGCTTTTTTCCTCCTGATCTCCATCTGTAGGTCGAAGCAAGCGTTTAGCCCTTGGCCTAGATTGAAAGGCGTCTTGTATTTCCTTTTGATTATTGATGTAATTTACTGTTTCTTATATATTCTGACTTTTATAATCTGTAGTAACCTCTTGAAATAGTGCGAATAAAGAGTTTCAGTTCAGTTTTTAGCTTCTTCTACTTTCTCAGTTGCTCGCTGAAACTTTAACAACCGCTCAAACAATCTAGCGTTCGTGTCGTTGGCGTAGCAGTTGACGTCTATGTTAAGCGTAGATTCTATAATTTCAACGAAATTGTGAGAAGTTTTCCCAAAAATATATACTCTATCTTTACCAGGGCACAACGATGAACATGTGAAACATTTCGAGCTCTCATCGACAAATTTCTTCAGTGTTTCTCCCGACATGATAGCTATATCATCTGCCACATCCACATTTTCGCGTAAAACCTTTCGTCATTCAGATTTTCTGGTATGTGATTGGTCTGTTCAATAGACCGCGACCAAACCGCAAGGACAATGAGAAAGGAATGTAGTTCGGTTGTCAGCAGCCGTTCTTTCGGGGGAGCGTTGCGTGACATCCAAAAAAAAAACGGCTGCGAGGGAGACTAGATTAGACACGATTGAAATGTTTTTCTTCATAGAAGCTGCTTAAGGCAATGTCAGTGACAACTTAAATCCGATGGAAAAATTCAGTTTTTCAGTTCATTGTCACTGATTCCCTATTTGATTAAACCATGCTGTGCAGGAGTGAATGGGGTGTAAGTCAATGGTCGTCAATGGTCGTTAATGAGGTGTGTCAAAAGAAAGTAAAATGACCTATGTCGACTCAACATCGTTCAGAATTCCTGTAATGAGCATCCGCTTTTTTATCAATTTTAGTTTAGCTTTCGTGGAGGCAGTTCCTGAACAACTTGAAAGGGGTAAGAGATCAGCCAGTCCAGTTCGAGTACGAAGTTTCCTACATAGTGTGCGAAAGAGAAGAGAAAGCAAACTGCCTACAATGCCACTTAGATTGTTTGCACACAACTTGAAACATTAGAAAATCAAAAAGTAACTTTATTAAATGGCTCATAGCTGCTTCTGCATACAGAGGCAGTTAATGTCGTCAATATGGAGAGACAAGTTAAAAATGAAGTAAACTAAATGAAAGGGAACGATTACGTTGCAATAAAATTTTGTTTAAAAACGAGTAATACTCCTGTTATCATCAATTAGTTGGATGAGTACATAACTCCTTAAGAGCTTCAGTTACGACAAAAGTGAGCCGTTTTTGTGTCACGAAATGAAAGTTGAACTGATCTCAGTAATACAATGAGTTTGTCAACGGGCACATCAAATGTAATATAAGGAAGTCATGTTTTGTGAAGATAGAATTAAGGGTATACCCTAAGTAAGTTGCAGAACACCCTCGTTGAATCAAGTGGATTGTCTCTTCAGTCTTAATGACCAGATCCGAAATTTTTTTTAACAGATTAATAGTCACAAGGCTCAGTAGCAGTCATGAGCTACCAATTGTTGTTTACGGCAAATCGATGCTTAAAAAAGCATAGGTAGAAAAACATTGAACAATCTAGGAGATATATGTATAGCGAATGTAGAAATTCCTGGTTCAAAATTGCTTTCTTGATCATACATTCAGTGATCATAAGTGGGTGAGTAATGAAAGAAAAGCTTATTAAGTAATAAAAGTTATGACCCACTTCCAGAGAACGTTGAGTCAAACACTGAGTTGTTCTTTTAAAATTAGACATATGAAAAATATGCAAAAATGTGCCACAAAGAAGTATGAAGCTTAATTACCATCAACTCACAGGAAATCATTAAGCTTTCGTCATTCTCTTTAAAAAAGATTAAAAAATATCCAGTAGTGGCAGTCAAGATTTCAATTAGGCTGTAAGGAATTGAAATAGTTGAAATAAAAATCCCATAAAGTAAACCTTTTTACTGATGAAATCTTTAGATCTTTAACTAATTGTGTGTATTAATCTATGAAGGATTACCCACTAATACTACTAGCAATGACCTGCAATGAAAAAGTTAATTCAAATATCAAAGATCGCAATTACTGTTCAATGTTTCGAGAATTTACTTGCACCTTGAATGAATGAGGCTTCAAGGTCAGTCCAAACTCTCCGTCCATGTTAAGTGGCACGCTGTGTTCCGGAAGCTGTAGGTGCAGTCCTTGCAGGAGACACCCAAGAAACATAAACAGCTGCGCCTTAGCGAGGGTAGCACCAAGGCAGCGCCTCCCACCGGTTGAGAATGGAAGCAGGAACACTTGCTGATCCAACAAGAGTTGTCCCTCGGTGTTAAGGAAACGGTAAGGATCGAAAACGTTTGGGTGGTAATATCGCCATCAAGGAATTCTGTTACAAGGTCTTGAAGGACAAGCGATCGCTTCACCCTTAAAGTTCTGGTGATAAAGTTAAAGAACTTAGGTATCACTAAATCTGAGAGGTTCATCGTTTATCTTTTATAACAAGGAACAAGACATGGTACACGAAATAAGTTTACAAGAAAAATTAAGAAATGAGAAAACCCATTAATAACAGGTTATTCTAGAAAAAAAAGAAAATGA